CGGCGCACCCTGGTGGACGCATGCGGCGCACCCTGGTGGACGCATGCAGGAATGGCATGAGAGCGTTCGCGATAGCCACTGGGAGGCATTGCTGGAGCTCCCGTGGTCGCAGGTGATGTTGAAGGTTTGGCTAATGTGCCCCATGGTGAATGAGTGCGGGATAAGTATGAGAGTGTTCGTGATGGCGACTGGGTGAAGTAGCTGGAGCTCCCGCGGTCGCCATAAGGCCGGAGCAGCGCTTTGCTTCGAGGGCCTCCAGTGCTGCTTGCTGCTTTAATTTTTTTTTTTACTTTATGCAAATCTTTGCTTGCAAGCAACTTTTATACAGTAAATGAATTTATGTAATTTATAAATATTCTTCTTCACTTTTCTTTCATACAAATGATGCACAACAGTGTTTCACACTTATAATGAATATTTCATTCCGATTTATTATCTTATATTAATTTCCTATAAATGTTTAATTCACAGATGATCCATACAATTCTCATGAGATAATAATAAATAACATTTTTGGACTTCTCAGATAAATTAAATGCTTTTTTCTCCATTATGTGATAATTTCTTATTTAAAACTGTTGCTGTACAAGATTATTTTCAGAAATAAATTTTTAAAAATGATTAAATATTACAAATGCTTTCTTTAAAGGTATTCTCGTTGGACTAATTAATTTGTGCTCTCAAGATATACAGTATTGCAAAATAAAGTGTACAAAACCCAGTTTTCATGTTATAAATGCAAATTATCTGTATTTATCTCTTTGCTCTACAAACAGAAGTCAGACGTTTGAATGGCTGGCTGTTCATATTTCATATTTTACTGTTTAGGTTTTGGTTTCAGGACCGCCTTGCTGCCGATTGGCCTTTTTCTTCTTCTGATTGCTCCGACTTCTTCAGAGCCCCACCAGCTCTTTAGACTGTCCCACATGGGAATCTGAAAGCAGAATGTGAGAGTCGTCTGTATTTTCAAACAGCACAAACACAGACAATAAGATCAGTTTGCGGTAAACAAGCTCAACATTTAACTTAACAAATCTTCTGGTGTGCTCAGAGGAAAATCAGCCTTTGGATAAAGTAATAATCCTGTATTTATTGACAGGATTACAGATTTCAAATTCAAACTCAAACCCAAAGGGAAATTAAGTGTTGTTGTAGCTTATCTTATTTTGTAATGTGATGTGTCTGTATGTCTATTGATGAGGTGTGGTGCTGAATATCTGTGTGCTTAATTTATGTTCTGCAGAACAGGAACCTGCTGTAAAACAGCAATTATGCTGAGCCAGGCCCGATTTCTTTTAATCTTTTCCTGTTTAAAAATTAAATAAATAAATAAATAAATAAATCATCCTGTTTCCATTCAAGAGTTATAGATGCTGATAGCTGTGGGCAGGAAGGATCTCCTGCAGCAAATCCGAAAAATCTGGCCACAGATACTGATCCATCCACCTGGACCCAGCTTGCTGTCATATCCAGTGGGCCTCTTGATCCTCCTGGGCAGCAGGACTGCACGAATGCCGGGCAGAATGCCTCCCTGAGCGATGATCACTCCTCTCAGCAGTGTGCCGAGCTCCTCGTTGCGACGGTCAGACAGCTGAAGGTGTCGGGGGATGATCCCGGTCCTCTCATTGTCACGAGCCGAGTTTTCCACCAGCTCCAGGATTTTGGCGGTCAGGCACTCGAGCACTGCCACCAGGTTGACGGGAAATGGTCCATGGCGCCTCCTTTTCAACTAATTTGGGATTTGGGGCTGTAGTTGAGGTAATTGACCTTATGAGATGTTAATCATCTGCTCCTGGTTGTTAAAAACACCTTGTTGTCATGGTTACGCATCATAACAAATGCCCAAAAGTAAAAAGGTTTCAGTAAAAATCCTTCCAGCTACACAGCATCCGATAACAGAGGAAATAATCATCTGGAAAAAGCAATTTACATCCAGAAAATAGAGGAGTTAAAGTTTTCAAAAGCAATAACTCAAAATGAATGTAACAGAGCTACTCCAACATGCAGCCACCCCGAGCGGCGCAATTCTAGAACAAATAAATAAGCAGAAAACCCCATGACCCGCAACAGAAAAAGCAGGTAAAGATAATGGATGGATTTCAGGTTTACAAGTTTGATATTCAAATGAAAAATAAATTATAAAAACATCAAATGGTGGCAGTGCTTCGTACAATATAAAAATCACAATTATGTCGAAAAATGCTGTAGCAGTTTTGATCAAATCTTGAAAATAATGTTATGTGAGAGCTCAGTTATGGCTGAATTACTTTCAGCAAATTTCATTCAAATCTGTCAAGTGGTTGATGGGCTGTTTCGCTACATGAACAAAAATGTTATCAACTGCGTTTGGTGATAAAATGTGATCTTTTACTTTAAATTTAAACTTTGTAAACATGTAATACAAAATACTTCCATTACCTGGTATAATCAGAAAGGTCACGATTTCGGAAATGATATCTTTAATATGCACAGACATGTAAAACACTGGTCAACTATGTATTTACTGTTCGTGTGTTCACGTAAAACAAGAAATAAATCAATTACAGGTGGTTTATGTGGCCGTTACTTCAGCTTTGGCGAAAATCAAGGGGGGGTAAACAAAACTTTAAAAGTAGACCCAAATGCAGATCTGTAAAATGAATCAAATCTGAGCTAAACTCATAGATCCTTGAGAAGACATGATCAACTTAAGGCCCAAGGGCCAAATGCGGCCCTTGGACAATCTCCATCAGGCCCCCAATATCCTTAGTTTAAAAAAACCCACAATATTTTAAATAAATATTGATTTAAAAAAAACAGCAATTTATCGATGAGGCAAGGAAATTTAAATTAAACATCTTATGCAAAACTTCTTAAAAACACTTTTAAGTCATTGTATTTCCAGAAGTAGACTGAACCTTAAAGACATAGAAACACAAATATATGTTTGTTTTTGCATATCTCCACTAACATGTATACCATGTTATGCTAACATGTGTAATATAATAGTCACAAGAGTCAGTTTATTGGAAAGACTTGTTTTATAGAGCTAACTGCTACAATAAGAAAAGGGTCTTCTAAATCATCTGTCATAAAGAAAATTTATTTTCCAATTCTCTATGCGGCCCTTTGATCGCTTTAAACATCTTGATGTGGCCCTTTGGAAGAAAAAAAAACGTTGCCCACCTCTGTCCTTGAGGATCTCACTTTCACGTTTAAACACATTTCACAGAAATGCTCAGCTTGGGTTTCTTAAAGAGCTCCAGAGGCAGAACATACCTGAGGACAAGAACCGTTCAGCAGACTGTTGAAGAACGGAACGATACCCGACTCCTCAACCAAATAATCCAGAGCGTCTAGAAAACAAAATCACGAAACACTTTGACTCAAACTGGACATAAAGAGTTCAAAATGTGAAAATTATAATAAAAAAAAAAACTTTAAGCACTGAAGCAGAAGTAAAATATCATGAGATCCTTTGACTCTGTGGATGAAGAGCAAGATAATGATGGCGAGCACTCACCGTGCACTTCATTTACCCCTGAGCTCACCAGCATTACAACCACGGCCACCACTAAGCAGCGGTTCATCGTTAATCCTTTCCATGGATTCGGAACGTCGCTCAAGTTTTCAATGGACAGAATTCGTTCGTAAGACACTGTGGACAGACAAGTCAGATGCATTAGCAGCAGGGTCCACTCTCTCAGACGGCTGCTTGACTCTTGTCTTACTTGTGAGCTTCTCTTTAGCTGCTTCAGCTCTGGGTTCAGCTGTTCAAAGCTCGGGATGAAATCTGGATACAAACAGAAGCTGTTCTATGGACAGAGTTTGTTCAGCAGAGTACTTGTGGCTGTACTGCAATGTGTACTTTAATTTCCCCCAGTATGTCACGGCCTAAAATAGACTCACGCAGCTCTTTAAAAAGGCATTTATGGAACACGAAGGTTAGTCACTTATATTAATGTGCAAATATAAAAAAATCAGCTCACCTGATTTGTTCTCTGTTGTGCATTGCACGGACGTGCGGACTAATAAAACTGTAATCCTGGTGAATTTTGTCCAGTCCCACCCTGCAGCACGCTCCGGGGCTTCTTGACTGACAGGCACAGATGAAAGGGTGTAGGAAAAAAAAAAAGGAAAATGACATTCATAATGTACTGGTGGGCAGCAGTTTAAACAGATGAACAAGTTATTACTACAAACTGTAAGAGCTCAAGTCTCTCTTGTAAATGAGTTCTCGAGGCTCAATGAGACTCACCTGTATAAATAAAGGTAGAATGAATGAAAAATGTTGCACATACATTTACAGAAGTAGTTCCTCAGATTAGATGTGGCTCATTCTTTGTGTATGTACATCCGTGATACACTTTCCACAGACTCAACAACCTACATTGCCTTATTCTATAGCTTGTCAACCACCAATATTTCTGGTTGTCACAAAATGTCACAAAAACCCAAGTCAGTGGTGAGGTAAAGATCCTTATCTTAAACACACAGGTGTAACCATCTCAAGTGATCATAACAAAACGAACATGAGGAGCTTGAGAACAACCCCAGCTCCAAACCAGATAATGAGCCCAGGACCTTCTTGCTGTGAGGCAACAGTGCAAACCTCTAAACCATCGTGCTGCCATGACTGTTAACCTGAGTTTTTAAGTGAAGTGAAACATGTGTCAAAAGAAAAGGACAACAAAACTATATCTATATATCACAAAATCCAAACCAAATAATGAGCACAGGACCTTCTTGCTGTGAGGCAACAGTGCAAACCTCTAAACCATCGTGCTGCCATGACTGTTAACCTGAGTTTTTAAGTGAAGTGAAACATGTGTCAAAAGAAAAGGACAACAAAACTATATCTATATATCACAAAATCCAAACCAAATAATGAGCACAGGACCTTCTTGCTGTGAGGCAACAGTGCAAACCTCTAAACCATCG